TGTCTGTACAGCACTTTGGTTGGCCTTGTTGCTGTTTTAAGTGCTTTATAAATAAAGTGGTATGGTATGGTATGGTAGAAAGAGGCGACGGTGTGCGATCTGTCCATTCCCGGTCAGGCTGTGCCGCTGCCCTCGAACCTCCTAGAGAGAAGATTTGCCGCCACCGAGGAACCACCGAGGCCTGGTCTGGCCTCATTTCGCTGCGGTTTCCTCCTTTTTTGGCAGGTTCCCCCTCAGAACCGCTGAAACCGAAGGCATCTGTCTCCACCTTCTTGCCCATCACGAAGGTGGAGGGGCTGACGGACCATGGTTTTCCGGCCGTTCAGTCCCTGCGGTGTAGCCTGTCATCCGTGTTTGGGGTGAGAGCGGCACAATATGTCAGATGGCGTATCATCCCTCTGTCCCCCAGCAACCAACTGACCATGAGGCTCACTGACAGGATCCATCAGTGCACCTTGCAGATGGCAGCGACCTCAAACAATGTGGCGATGCCAGCACTCAGCATCTCACGGAAGGCCAAACCAGACTTCTCTGCTGCAGACCGGGACAAGTCTTGCACCACGGCTGACACCATCGCGAACCTGTGCGCTATGCAGGCGGTCTGCTCTGCCTGCATCATGGCGTGGGCGACTGTGCTGCAAAGGCAGATGTGGTTAAAAATCTCTTTGTCCATCCCCGACGAGATTAAAAAAGAGCTTTCTGCAGGGCCCGATTAGTCCAGATGGACTTTTCAGTCCTCAATTTCAATCCCTGCTGGACCAGTTTCAATCCTCCTCGGATGCCCTGGAGCAGGTTGGATGGCATGTGACCCGGTCTCGCCCAGACCCATGCTCTCTCCAGACGGCTGGACGCTGGTAGGATGCAGACTCCAGCGTCAGCAGCAGAGGCGCTCCATGGCCACAGCTACATCCTCGAGAGCTCCAGCTGCCACCGCAACCACAGAACATCCTCCAGAAACCCCATTTTGAGCCGGTATCTGCAGAGGTCATCGATTGGTGTGTTCCTGGTTCAGCCAGCCTCAGGAGCCACAGAACAGACAGCAAAACAAATGTGGCTTTGCAGTGGTCGTGTGTGATGATGTTTGTGAAGGTTTTGAAATAAAACATGAACTTCACTCGAAGAACAGAATTCTCTTTTCTGACAGGCAGAACTGCCCTGTCAGTCCTTTTTCTCACACATCCTCCACTCCAGACAGAATGTAATTTCTAAACAGGCATTTAAAATTAACCAATTCTCCATTCATCATAGTCAGAAACCTTATGAGCCCATGGCGAGAACACGTGTTCCCCATGCTGATCTTTTTCCTATTTCACCTTCTCTCTCCACCTGATGGTGAAAAGAAATACTGAGGATGAGCGTTCAGGCACGCCAGCTGGTCAGGTAAACTTTAGACAGTTGTCTATAAGATGCCGAATCATCCCGGGCCTCACTCAGCTCAGCTATGAACCCACAGTAAGGACACCCGTCCTGCGTGGGGGCTCTGCTCAGATGTCAGCCCCCCCCCCCCCCCACCTAACGGTGTAGGAGGGAGAAGAAGATGAGCCTTCTCCTAAGCACCCCTCGTTTTACTCATCAGCTCACTCCACACGTCCTCTTCATCCAGCCACACATGCGGGTCAGTGTGTGATTGACAGACAACCTGTTATAATGTGGAGTTACCCAGGTGAAAAGACTGAGAGGAGAACAGAACCAGACTCAACTGTAATTGAAAATGTTTTTTTACAGTGAAAAATTAACTATTTACAAGCAGGTTCAGGGTCTGTGAAGACAGAGGAGGAGGATTATTCATGGAAGAGATTTTGGTCCAACAACTGAATGTTTGGGTTCTTTGTAAGGCTTACAGTTCAGGTAGTCTGTATGGCTGTTGGATGGCTGAGGGTTTTGCTCCTTCCAGGATGATGGGAAGGCAGACTGCAAGGGCAAGTGGTGGAAGGCGAATTCAGGCAGCTGAGCACCAGGAAGCACAGGTAAGTATCTCCGTAGGATCTTCTCCAATACTTCAAATTACAGGACAGGATCCGGTACATCCAGACTCTGAAAACGTGGACACAAAACAAGGTAAGTCTATCTAAATCTTTAAGCACTGTACAGGGCTGGAGGCATATGTACCGGCAGGTCAAACAATGCTCCAGCACTGACTGGAGCTCCACTGGAGCCTTAAGTACTCCTGGCATCAATTAAGGAAACTGGCCTCAGCTGCAGCTGCTCATCAGCACCGCCCCCGCCTTCAGGAACCTGGAGGAAGGAAAATATCAAAACCCTACACAACCCTGTCTTCCCACGCACAACACACGCTCATACATGGCCGCTCTCAGAGCTCCGCTCAGATGCATTTGTTTCAGATGATAAAGTGAACGTGCCATTAAATCACCAGGGGCCACACACTGCATTGTGTAAGAGCCCCCCCCCCCCCCCCCCTGAGTTTCAGCGATGTTCTGAAAACTCAGTTAACATCCCCAGAACAGGCCGAGTTTTACAGACGGAGCTAAAGGAGCTTCTGATAAAAGACATGATTTCAGAAGTCCTTCCCGAGGAGGAAGAAACTGGTTTTTACTCCCGGTACTTCCTGGTTCCGAAAAAGTCAGGGTGTTCGAGACACATTCTGGACCTGTCCCTGTTCAACAAATATCAGAATCAGAACCAGAATCAGAATGCCTTTATTGTCATTATCAATCAATCAATCAACCTTTATTTCTACAGGTAAATCCCATTGAGCCTCGAGGACTCATTTACAAGAGAGACCTGATTT